ATAAACCAGAGACTTCATCAGCCTGAGACCAGAAGAACTAGATGGTGCCTGGCTACCACCAATGACCGCCCTGACAGGGAACACAACAGAGAGTTCTAGCTGCAGCAGGAGAAATGTGGAGCGCAGAACTCAAATTCTAGTAAGAAGACCAGACTTAATGGTCTGACTGAGACTGGAGGAACCCCAGAAAGAATGGCCCCTGGATTCTCTATCAGCCCAGAACTAAAACAGTTTCTGAGGCCAACTCTTCAGACAGGGATTGGACTGGACCATGGGATGTAAAGTGATACTTGTGAGGAGCGTGCCTCTTAGCTCAAGTAAATGCAGGAGACTAAACGGGCAGCTTTTGTCCGGAGGTGAGATGGGAAGGCAGAGAGGGTTAGGAGCTGGTTGAATGGACATAGGGAATCGGGGTTGGAAAGGAGGAGTGTGCTGTCACAGTATGGGGAGAGCAATTAGGGTCCCATAACAATGTATGTATAAATTTTTGTATGGGAAAAAATTTTTTAAAGTAATAAAAATATTTGGATAACTGTATTTCAATGTAATTGATTTCCTTCATAATCCTGTGTATTTTATGCATTTAGAAACATTTTAGAGAAGGGGTCCATAGGCTCCACCAAGGATCCATGGCAAAAAAAAAAAAAATTAAACTCTGATGAGGCCTCTTATGTAACCTTTAAATGAGAATTCTCAGAATTGTGCTTTGTTTTCTTCTTTTCCTTATTGAAAATAACAGTGACTAGTAATGTGCTTCATTTAATGTGTTGCTGTACTTTTAGGTTTATGTACAAGTTAATAAAGAAGCAGCAGATGATAAAAATGTAGCAAAATCAGCACATGAGTTCTTCCAGCGGTTGGAACTGGGAGACTTGCAAGCACTTTCACTATGGCGGAAATTTCGGGACTTGAGCATTGAGGAATACATTCGGATTTACAAGGTACCTGTAGACTCCCCCCTCTGCTTTCCTGTGGTGTACTACAGCTCTTGACTGATACTACTGTGTAGTAATGCTGCATCATAAGCTTGTATTTTAAGAATAGATTTATCATTGAGTTGAAGATTAGGACTCAGATACTGTCCTTTGGGCTGGGAGAGCTATAAAATAATCCTGAAGCATTATCAGCTGAAATTCTGATACTTCTTTTCATTCTGACCTTTCCTTTCTCTCCTATCACTCCTTCACTTTTTATTCTTTTTTTCTTCTTTTGCTTCCTTAGGCCTGTATATGATGAATATAAATTCATTCATTTGATGAACATTTAGGGTGGGTGGTACAAGAGTATATAGAAGAGGTGACAATCCTTGCTCTCAAGGACCTTTCATTCTAGCGAGGAGACAGAGGATAAATTACCATAAACAAGAAACATATCTAGTCTGTTAGATGATGAGAGGTGCTGTGGAGAAAAATGAAGCAGGGAAAGGAAGATCAGCTGTGCTGTCTGTGGGTGGAATGAGGGGAGGCATTGAATTTTAGTCAAGGCTTCCAACTGCTTCCTTCAAGTTCAAACCCCTGCTGAAAATTTGCGTTTCTGACAAGTTCCCAGGAAGTTATACGTAAGAATCACCTGAGGATCTTGTTAAACTGTAGGTTCTGATTCAGTATATCTGGGGTAGAAATGCAAATTCACAGCAGGGATCAGTAAAGGAGCCCATGTGACTGAAATAGAATAAGCAAGATGAAGAATAGTAGGAGAAGAGGTTGAAGAGGTTGTGGGATGAAGCTTAATGTAGGACGTTCTCCAGGGCTGTCCAGTGGAACTTTCTGCTATGATGTTCTGTATCTATGCTGGCTAATAATAGGATTAGGGTTAGGGTTACCCACATGTAGTCACTGAGCACTTGAAGTATGAGTAGTGTGACTAAGGAAATAAATTTTTACTTGTTTTTTTTTTTTTAATAGCCACATGTGGCTAGTGACTACCATATTGGACAGCATGTGCACTGTTGTGAGGACTTGACTGGGGCAGTGGGAACCATTAGAAGGTTTGAGCAGAGGAGTGACTTGGTCTAATTTTCTTTTCCCCATCTGTGTGACAGACTGACTATAGGGCATCCTGTTCTTGATTTTAGGGTAGGATAATAGGAGATTTAACTAATTTTCTTCTTCTTTTTTTCTGAACCTCTTTAGCGTCTTGGAGTACACTTTGATGAATACTCAGGAGAATCGTTTTATCGTGAAAAATCTCAAGAAGTGTTAAAATTGCTGGATAGAAAAGGACTTCTACAGAAAACAATGTATGATCAGGTTACTATTCTTTAGTAAAGTTACTTGTTCTTCTTTGAAATTGGTATTAATATATTCTTTCAGTAAGGACAACAGGATGTGGTATGCAGCCATTCTTGGCATTTTTTTTATACTGTTTTTTGCTGTTCAAAGTACTTTCACACACGCTCACATTTGCTGCTATGGCAAACTCCTGAAAAGGTTGTGAGAAAGGACGCTGTCTGCTGTTTACATGTGAGGAAACAGAAGCACAGAGTGTAAGTCATCTGCCTGAGATCCCACAACCTAGCAGGAATGGGAAAAAGAACTAGAGCTCACATCTTCTGACTCAACCCTGCCTTCCTTAAAAATCCCATTCTGTACTGAAAAGGATTTATGGATGTAGGTATAATATCACAGACTTTTGAAATGAGGAAATCAGGAAGAAGGGACAGGAGAAATAATGCAAAGTTAGGGATGATGTTATTGCCTCATAAACACACACCGGGATTCCGTTTGCCTGCTAAAGGTCGGTTACTGATTTAGCTTTGCGCTTCCTGCCACCCGAACAGAGAAGCAGTACCCGTCGTGGGAACCAGGCATCTGTACGTTAGAAGGATCCAGTTGCTTAGGAAAAGTGCCAGTTTTCATAGTACCAAAGAGCAGTTTCTCCGGTAACCTCATCTCAGTAATGCCTGAAGAAAAAATTTTAGATTGCCACATACAGATTTTAATTTTTGATCAAAAAGGAAAGATAGTAGCAAAACTCCATGATTTTTACTACTCAAAGGTACTTTCTGGCATGTTAAAAATTAGCCCAGTATTGAATGTTACAGTAACTTGAATAAGAATCTGTGATGTTTCATGGTTATCTTTCACTTAAACTGACATTGCAATCTCATTCAACAGCTGGGAATATAAAAGATTTTATCTAAGTGCCTTACCCAGAGCTACAGATTAAAAATAAAGATAACCAAATATTACATCATACGTGCTCTTAATAGATTCATAGTCATATTCCTTCTTAACTTTTCTTCATTGTTGATTATGGCTGGAATTGACACTGTTACTTATAAAAATAGCTTTTATGGTTTGCCAAAGATACTACTGTAGATAGACTTTTAGAGGTCTTAATTTATTATATTGCTTCAGAGTTACTCTTTGCATTTCTAGAAAAGGAACAGCTGTAGTAGATCTCTCTGGGAAAGGTGATCCCTCCTCAATTTGTACTGTAATGCGAAGTGATGGGACTTCTCTTTATGCAACCAGGTTTGTATCTTCTCTGAGGGTAAGCAGAGTAATATGACTTCATGTTCTTTGTTCTGAGATTAATGTTAAGATAATCATTTTTTCCTCAAAACTGTTATCAAGTCCTAATTGCAAGTTTTGTTATCTCTTGCTGTCATCATTCAAAGAATATTTATTCTGTTTATTGCCAGCTACCCACCAAAACCAAACCCACTGTCATTGAGTCAATTCCAGCTTGTAGCAACCCTGTAGGACAGAGTAGAACTGCCCTTTAGGGTTTCCAAGGCTATAAATCTTTACAGAAGCAGACTGCCACATCTTTCTGCCCTGGAGCAGCTGGTGGGTTCACACTGCTGACTTTTGGTTAGCAGCTGAGTGCTTTGAACACTGTGCCACCAGGGCTCTTTTTTGCCAGCTAGACTTCCTGAAAAGGTTTAATATTATCAGAAAAGTGACCACAAAACTTTCTAGTTAAACAGCATAGGATTACTTCAGCTGAATACAGCATTCTACCAACTATAAAAGTGAGGTACTTCATCCTCAACCGTTTAAGTGTTTTACAATTACACATTGGCAGGAAATAAAAATAATGCATACTAGGAGGTGGCCATGTTGGCTCAGTGGTCTCCTCATGCTGTAAAAGACTATTTTATATGCACTTAAGTATACCGGACCTCATTATGATGTGTGGTAAAACAGGCCAGGGGAGAAGTAGGCCATGTCTCATATTCTTTTCAAGGCCAGGGGAGAAGTAGGCCATGTCTCATACTCTTTTCATCCATCACCATGACTGAACCCGGTAGAAAGGAGCAATCTCTGTTAATCTGTAAGAACTAGGTTTACCAATTTCACCTATTTCTGAGACAAATGTTCTCATGGATGGAACTGTGTCCCCCAAAAAATGTGTGTAACAATTTGGCTAGGTCATGATTCCCAGAATTGCGTGGTTGTCCTCCATTTTGTGATTGTAATTTTATGTTAAAGAGGATTAGAGTGGAATTGTAACACAACCCTTACTCAGGTCACATCCCTGATCCAATGTAAAGGGAGTTTCTGTGGGGTGTGGCCTGTACCACCTTTTATCTCTTGTAAGAGATAAAAGGAAAGGGAAACAAGCAGAGAATTGGGGACCTCATACCATCAAGAAAGCAGTGCCAGAAGCAGAGCTCATCCTTTGGACAGGGGTCCCTGCGCCGAGAAGCTCCTAGTCCGGGGGAACATTGATGAGAAGGCCGAGAGAGAGAAAGCCTTTCCCTGGAGCTGACACCCTGAATTTGGACTTTTAGCCTACTTTACTGTAAGGAAATAAACTTCTCTTTGTTAAAACCATCCACTTGTGGTATTTCTGTTATAGCAGCACTAGATGACTAAGACGAACGTAATAAGAAGAAGAGGTAGGACAATAAAAAAGTCACACAAGCAACACAGCCATATCAAGGTACTGCTGACAAAAGGCTCTAGTGTTTCCCAAGCCATATTAGGTCACAAGCCACTTTTGTAACATAGTTAATGATATTTTATTTTTGTGTTATTAACTACCATCATTTGCTCCAAACAATTTTAAACAATCAACCAATTCTTTTACTGCCCCTTAGAAAATTCATCTCTTTCTATTGTTTTTTCACACTTCCCTATATCAATGCCATGTCACTGGGGTTAGGAAGTAAGAAGGACCTATATATCTAAGGGATACATTTCTTTTTCAAAATACTAAAAAACAAAAAAAAATTTTGTGTGTATGTGTGTGTGCCTCAGCTGATTATTGGGCAGATTCAAGAAAGAATCCCTTAAGCTGAGGTTATAAGAATTGTGTCCACTCAGAAAATTTACCTTAACACCTAACTTCCTCTTTTTTCTTTGGTAAAATCGATTGTCTTTTTGCCACTTGTTGAAATGTTTGATTTTTCACCTTGTATTTACTTTAGCCTTTCTAGTGGATTTCTTATAGAACACATCTATGTTTGTGAATGTGAGTCGAAAGAGTCATTATAGCAGATGAAGAAAAGTGCAGGAGAATTTTGACAAGAGCACAAAGTGCGAGGCTGGAGACCTGGGTTTTTGTTCTGAGACCAAGGCAATCATTTAACTTCTCTGGCCCATGGTTCCCTACTGAGTGAAATGAGAAAGCCAGTTGCCGTCTAATCGACTTTAACTAATGGCGATACCAAGTGTGTTAGAATAGAACTGTGCTCCGTAGGGTTTTAAACGGCTAATCTTTCGGACGTAGATCGCCAGGTCTTTCTTCTACGATGCCTCTGGGTGACTCGAACCTCTATCCGTCCGGTTAGCAGCCAAGTGTGTTAACCATTTGCACCAGCCAGGGACTCCTGTGAAATGAGAGACCTGGACAAAATGATGCAGTACTTTTCCCAGCTTTCAAGTTCAGTTTCTACAAACTCAACCTAGAACTTTGCCTTACATTCTTCTCTTCCATTCTGTTGGATCAAAAGGTTTTTCTTCATTTTATCCTTTGCTCAAACCAAAAAATATAATGGGATGTAGGTTTGTGACTTCATTTTTGTGGTAACCCTCTATACCAGGGTGGTTTTTTTTTTTTTAATTATAATCCTTCTCAGGAGCCTTTTTAGATATTTTTTCCCAATTGCCCATCCGCATGAAACTCTTAATAACATAGACATAGTACATATATATCTGTATGTACTATATTTATATCTGTGCTTTATACAGAAAAAGATAAGACTTTTTTGCCCCTCAAGAACCAGTTTTCACCTCCACTGATAATGCGTGCTGTGCAATGCCAGGATCATGAGGTGGGTAATAATGGCATTTTGATGGTTCCCAATTTTTTAAAAGACCTAGGAACTATTTAAGCCCTCCCAGTTTTTTACGCTGTTATCCAAAAATAATTTAAAACTTCAGTATCTTCATAATCCTGGATTTGAAATTTTATAATTTATGATCTGTTTTTCATTATTTCATACAACATGCAAGCCAAGTATTTTGTATTTAAACAGAGATAAAAGAGATAAGTGAAATTTTTGTCAAAGGACTTACAGTCTTTTAAAATGCTTTAAAAGGTATTATGATTGACCAGAACTTTAAAAGTCCTTGGTAGTGCTAATAGAAGAGTAGCTAGAAGATGCCTGCTTACCTACCACATCACCATGTTTTAAATATGTTCTTTAAGAAAATGTATTACAGGGAGGTGGCCAAGTAGGTGATTCTTTCCAGTAGAGACTTAGTTAACTAATTGTAAAACATTTACCTACAAGACAGTTCTCAAAGCTGTTTTACTTATTATTACTACTTTTCCCAGAGCTTTTATTTATTTTTGTTTTATTATTACTTTTCCAGGGGCTTTTATTATTGCTTTTCCCAAAGCTATTTTTGTTATTATTGTTTGGTATCAAAGTATGGTATTGGGATTAGAAGTGTGAGTGGTATACCCAAGGCTGTGGGATAACAGGAGTTCTTAATTAGAAAAGGCTCATTGCTATTAAATAGGGAAAGCAAACTATTGCCCAGATCTGTTTAGTAACTCCTAATTTATGACCATTCTTTCAGAGATCTTGCAGCTGCTATAGATCGAATGGACAAGTATAATTTTGATACAATGATTTATGTGGTAAGTAGTCACAATAAGGATCAAAATGTTATGGTCCCTACCTCATGAAAACTGCAAAGATAGAAATTGGCTGCCATGCTGAAAACTATGGGAAAGATAGTTTTCTGCTCTTTTTGTCAAACTGCAGAGAGATTTCAATGTTAACTGTATTTAAGGTGGCAATTCTATTTTTTTTTTTTTAATTTTTAAAAATGAAAAAGGTATATTGCTTCATTGTAAAAAATTACCTGGCACAGGAAAATGGATATATGAAATGAATATTGCAGGTCACAGTACTGCAGTTTTTTATAATAGTTTTTTACTATTATAATTTCGAAATAGTTTAAGACTCAAAAGAAGTGTAAAAAATAGCAGAGTTTTCAAATATCCTTTATCTAGCCTTCCCCAGTGATAATATCTCACATAACCTTACTACATTGTCAGTACCAGGAAATTCACATTGGTTCAATATTACTAACTTGATAAAGACCTTATTCACATTTCTCCAGCTCTTATGTGTGGGTGTGTGTGTTTTGTTCTATGAAATATTATTACATGTGTAGATTCATATAACCATCACCACCATCAGAATACAGAACTCCCCCTCACAACAAACCCTTCATGTTACGACTTAGTAGCACACCTTCCCCCCAACTCTAACCCCTGCCTGTGTTCTCCATCACTACAATTTTGTCACTTTGAGAATGTTACATAAATGGAATGTAACCCTTTGAGACTGGCTTTTTTCACTCAGCATAATGAGCCCTTGAGAGCCATCCAAGCGTGGCGTGTAGCAATAGTCTGTTCCTGTTATAGCTGAGTACTATTCTTGTCTCTTCTCCACTTTCCTTGCTCTCCACGAGCAACCTCCCTTTCCACTAAGAAAAAAACATGGCCATCAAGCATCTTTTTAGAACTTCGCTTTGGCCTTCTTGGAGATAAAGGTCATGACAGCTGAGAGAGAAGGAATTTAAATAGAATACTGAGAAAACAGAGGTTCCCTTTTCCTCCTGAGTTGGTGGAGTCCTGCCGCTCCTCTTTCCTTCTTGTAGAGCACCCAGTTTAGACACTCTTCTGGTGGCATACACTTTGTGTGTTTCTTTTAAAAATTAAATATGTTAAGTATGTTTTAAAAAATTTAAAACATATTGATTGACAATGACATTAGTCTGTTAAAACTCAAATATGTTAATTTATTCATGTCCCACCTATTTTTGTAGATCAATTTATCACTGACTCTTTTTGTGAATACGTTTTCCTTCCAAGACAGATAAAGGGCAAAAAAAGCATTTTCAGCAAGTGTTCCAGATGCTAAAGATCATGGGATATGACTGGGCAGAAAGGTAATGTCTGTATGGCTCTTAATTGACTGGTCAGGAACATTTAAAACTTTGTTTGGTGAGCCAAGCCCCAAATTGCATCCAGTTGTAAAGGATTTTAATTCAAACTTCAATTGTTCAAGATTTTAGTGTGGAAAAGCAGACTTGATTTTTTTACATTAATTAGTGTCTTAATTACAGTGATTTCTATCTTATAAACATTTTAATTAACGCGTTTTTACTAGACATCTCCTTTCAGGGGCTTGATTTTCAAATTCTTAATCTCTAGCTCCTTTTTTCCATAAAGTCAATGGGGTAATTTAGTCACTTGCTAGTGATTATTTTTACAAAGTGAAACTGTGTGCTGAAGATTTTTGTGACATGCAGCAAATCACATTATATTTCAATTTATTACTTTTTACAAACCCCTCTGAGAGAGTTAAAGTTCAGACTACTCTCTGAAAGGGTACTGTTATATACTTTTTAAATTTTCAGTTAACCAAACGCCCACTCTTCATTTCAGGTGCCAGCACGTGCCCTTTGGAGTAGTGCAGGGAATGAAGACTCGAAGAGGAGATGTTACTTTTCTGGAAGATGTTTTAAATGAGATTCGATTAAGGATGCTACAGAACATGGCTTCTATTAAGAGTGAATTCACTTTTTTGTTCTTGTACTCAAATCTTGAGGCGACTTTTATGTTTTGGTGGATGTTTATGCAATGTGAATTATTATGACTGTCCCTCCATTGAACTTTTACTAACCTTGTTGAAAGTTGTTGTTAGGTGCCATCGAGTCAGTCCTGACTCATAGCAGCCCTATGTACAACAGAATGAAACACTGCCTGGTCCTGGCGCCATCCTCACAATCGTTATGCTTGAGCCCATTGTTGCAGCTACTATGAGGGTCTTCCTCTTTTTTGCTTACCCTCTACTTTACCAAGCATGACGTCCTTCTCCAGGGCCTGGTCCCTCCTTATAACATGTCCAAAGTATATGAGATGAAAGTATCACCATCCTTACTTCCAAGGAGCATTCTGGCTGCACTCCTTCCAAGACAGATTTATTCGTTCTTCTGGCAGTTCCCATGGTATATTCAATATTGTTCGCCAGTACCATAATTCAAAACCATCAGTTCTTCTTTGCTCTTCCTTATTCATTGTCCAGCTTTCACATGCATATGAGACACTTGAAAACACCATGGCTTGGGTCAGGTGCACCTTAGTCCTTAAAGTGACATCTTTGCTTTTTAACATTTTAAAGAGGTCTTTTGCAGCAGATTTGCCCAATGCAATACATCATTTGATTTCTTGACTGCTCCTTCCATGGGCGTTGATTGTGGATCCAAGTAAAATGAAATCCATGACAACTTCAATCTTTTATCATGATGTTGCTTATTGGTCCAGTTATGAGGATTTTTGTTTTCTCTATATTGAGGTGTAATCCATATGAAGGCTGTAGTCTTTGATCTTCATCAGTAAGTGCTTCAAGTCCTCTTCGCTTTCAGCAAGCAAGGTTGTGTCATTTGCATATCGCAAGTTGTTAATGAGTCTTCCACCAATCCTGATGCCACATGATTCTTCATGTAGTCCAGCTTCTTGGATTATTTGCTCAGCATACAGGTTGAATAAGCATGGTGAAAGGATACAAACTTACGCACACCATTTCTGATTTTAAGCCACTCAGTATCCCCGTCTTCTGTTCAAACAACCTCCTCTGGGTCTGTGTACAGGTTCTGCATGAGCACAAGTTTAAGTGTTCTGGAATTCCCATTCTTTGCAATGTTCTCCATAATTTGTTATGATCCCCAGTCAAATGCCTTTGCATAGTCAATAAAACACAGGTAAACATCTTTCTGGTATTCTCTGCTTTCAGCCAAGATCCATCTGACATCAGTAATGATACCCCTCCTTCCACATTCTCTTCTGAATCCAGCTTAAATTTCTGGCAGTTCCCTGTTGGTGTATGGCTGCTACTGTTTTTGAATGATCTTCAGAAAAATTTTACTTGCTTGTGATATTAATGATACTGTTCGATAATTTCCGCATTCTGTTGGATTATCTTTCTTTAGAATGGGCACAGATATGGATCTCTTCCAGTCGGTTGGCCAGATTTCTTGGCACAGACAAGTGAGCACTTCCAGCGTTGCATCTGTTTGTTGAAACATCTCAGTTGGTATTCTGTCAATTCCTGAGCTTTGTTTTTCACCAGTGCCTTCAGTGCAGCTTGGACTTCCTTCAGTACCATCAGTTCTTGATCATATGCTACCCCCAGAAATAGCTGACCGTTGACCAATTCCTTTTGGTACAGCGACTCTGTGTATTCCTTTCATCTTTTTCCATGTATTCCTCCATGCTTCCTGCATCATTCGATATTTTGCCCATAGAATCCTTCAGAATTGCAACTCAGGACTTGAATTTTTTCTTCAGTTCTTTCAACTTGAGAAATGCTGAGTGCATTCTTCCCTTTTGGTTTTCTAACTCCAGGTCTTTGCACATTTCATTATAATACTTTACTTTGTCTTCTTGAGCCACCCTTTGAAATTTTCTGTTTCAACTCTTTAACGAGATCATTTCTTCCATTCACTTTAGCTACTCTGCATTCAAGAGCAAGTTTCAGAGTCTCTTCTGACATCCATTTGGGTCTTTTCTTTCTCTCCTGTCTTTTTAATGACCTTTTGCTTTCTCCATGTATGATGTCCTTGATGTCATCCCCCAATTCCTCTGGTCTTTGGTCATTAGTGTTCAGTGCATCAAATCTGTTCTTCAGATGGTCTCTAAATTCATGTGGAATATACTCAACCTTGTACTTTGGCTCTTGTAGACTTGCTCTAATTTTCTTCAGCTTCAGGTTGAACTTGCATGTGAGTAATTGATAGTCTGTTCCGCAGTCAGCCCCTGGCTTTGTTCTGACTAACGATATTGAGCTTTTCCATCGTCTCTTTCTGCAGATGTAATCCGGTGAGGTCCATGTGTATAGCTGCTGTTTATGTTGTTAAAAAAAGGTATTTGAAATGAAGAACCCATTGATCTTGCAAAATTCTGTCATGCGATCTCCAGCGTCATTTCTATCACCAAGGCCATATTTTCCAATCCTTTCTGTCTCCAACTTCTGCATTCCAATCACTAGTAATTATCAATGCATCTTGACTGCATGTTTGATCAATTTCAGACAGCGAAAAAGTTGGTAAAAATCTTCAGTTTCTTCATCTTTGGCGTTAGTGGTTGGTACATGAATTTGAATAATAGTCATATTAACTGGTCTTCCTTTTAGGCATATGGATATTATCCTATCACTGATACTTCAGGATAGATCTTGAAACGTTCTTTTTTGATAATGAATGTGATGCCATTTCTCTTCAATTTGTCATTCTTGGCATAGTAGACCATACAATTGTCTGATTCAAAATGGCCAGTAACAGTCCATTTCAGCTAATGCTTAGGACATCGATCTTTATGCATTCCATTTCATTTTTGACGACTTCTAATTTTCCTAGATTCATACTTTGTACATCCCACATTCCAATTATTAATGGATGTTTGCAGCTGTTTCTTCTCATTCTGAGTTGTGCCATATCAGCAAACGAAGGTCCTGAAAGCTTTACCCCATCCACGTCATTAAGGTCAACTCTACTTTGAAGAGGCAGCTCTTCCCCAGTCATATTTTGAGTGCCTTCTAACCTGAGGGGCTTATTTTCCAGCACTGTATCAGACAGTGTTCTGCTGCTGTTCTTGAGGTTTTCACTGGCCGATTTTTTTAAGAGTTAGATCACCAGGTCCTTCTTCCTAGTCTATCTTAGTCTGGAAGCTCCACTGAAACCTGTCCATGGGTGACCCTGCTGGTATTTTAAATACCAATGGCATAGCTTCCAGCATCACAGCAACATGCAAGCCACCACAGTACGACAAACTGACAGACGAGTGGTGGTGTTGAAGGTAGTTTTCACTAATTTGCAGTACCAATTTCTAGACTTGGCTGCTCAGGAATTATTTCCATAATCTGAATTGCTGTAACCCTGATCCCATTTTCACTGACAACCTCAGCATCATTATTCCATTGTCCAAGTGGTCATGTAAAGTTCCTATATTATATAGTTGGATACAAGTTACAAGTCCTTATGGCTTTGTTTAAACTTTACCCTTGGAAAAATAAGTATCAGCTATATCTAAAGTCTTACAAGGGATAAGAAAAATAAACTTTATTTTTGTATTTATTAGTGACTATTCTTCCCTTTTAATGTAGGCAGGGGAAATATTATCAAAGGTAAATTAGCCTAAATTTAGAAAGTAAATTCCCTACTGCAGATGTGTTTGTTCTTGATACTGTCAGCATACATTTTTGACAGACTTTATGTCCACTTCCATCATGATTCTGGAAGATTAAAATAGCTGCCTTTGTCTGTTTCAGCAACTAAAGAACTTGAGAACCCACAGGAGACTGCAGAGAGGGTGGGGCTTGCAGCACTCATTATTCAGGTCTGTTAAGACTCCTGGGAGACCCTTTCGTTGGGCACCAGAACAAATCCCAGAGCTTAAGATTTACTCTTTGTCATTTTAGGACTTTAAAGGTTTACTATTATCTGACTATCAGTTCAGCTGGGATCGTGTTTTCCAGAGTCGCGGGGACACAGGAGTCTTCCTACAGTACACACACGCCCGCCTGCACAGGTGAGAAGAGGCTGCAGGGAAACGCTGGGCCACTCTGCCCTCCCCACAGTGGGACCTGGCTGTTGCAATTCCAAGACCAAGGGTTCTGTTTTCTAGGCGTCTCCAACATCTCATATTGAAAACTAGTGACCTTAATGGGTTTTTTTTGCTGTTGTTTTTTAATTGTTATTTATTGAGCACCTATGTAAGAAAGGCTTTTATGAATATTATCTTATTTAGTCCTCAGGATAACCCTGCCAAGAGTATAGTGTTACCTCTGTTTTACAGATGAAGAAACAGAGGTAGGGAAAATTAGAAGCTTCCGGTCAAACAATGTTAGCTTAAAAGTCTAAGGCTATATCAAGGAGAGCAAGGCCGTAATGTTCATCATTTGCACGTATTTGTCCTTGGTGACTTGTTTAATCCTTTGTAGTTTTTAATTCTAAACTTTTAATAATAGTTTGGAAGAGACTTTTGGATGTGGTTATCTGAATGACTTCAATCCAGCTTGTTTACAAGAGCCACAGTCTGTTTCAATTCTCCAGCATCTTCTCAGGTATGAAGCTTTTCTAATATTATCAAATATGCTTCTGGTTAGTAAAATGGCTATTAGCGTTTTATTGACCAACAGAGTGAATAAAAGGGGCCCTGGTGGTGCAATTCTTAAGCATTTGGCTGCTAACTGAAAGATTGGCTGATTGAACCCACCAGCAGCTCCGAGGGAAAAAGACCTGGTAATCTGCTCCCACAAAGATTTCAGCTTTGGAAACCCTATGGGACAATTCCACTCTGTCCTGTAGGGTCACTATGAGTCACAACAACAGAGTGAACAGGCCAGTAGCTGGCTCCTGCCTACTGCCTCTAGACAGCGTTTTCCTAAAGGTATGACCAAAAAGCGGTATTTTCCCTTTGAGGGCATGGATTAAGCCCATGTTCAAGGTCAATCCTTAGGTCTTAAGAATGTTACCACTGCTGAGTTAGAACATATGCTAAGCATCCTCTAGCCCCTGGCATGAGAATGTGAAGCCTGGTCAAAAAGGATCACAGTGTAATGTTGGAAGAGATCATCTTCTCACCCTCTGTGATAAGGGAAGGAAAATCTCTGCCTTTGTGAGACCATAAGTACTTCATTTGCCTCTTGATTTCAGTTCAGTCTCACATACAGATCTATCTGATGTGCGTACACTGGGCAAGAGTCCACACCTCTAAGCTCTCACAAGCACTGTTGGTGAAGCCAGACTTGTAGAGATGAGTCTCTGGAAGGGATGTGGGTGGTTAGGATCAAGGCAGTTTTCTCTGATTGCTACATAAAGGTCCATGGTTCTTTCCTGGGACCAGAAGGAGTTATTTTATTCATATAAAGCCAATTTGTGGGGAAAAATAAGCCAACCTGGTCTCTTGAGCATTGAGGGTAGTTCTGTTAGCTGCTTTTTGTAGAGTGTGTAAATGTGGCTGGAGGCTTTTTCCATTCGGTTTAACAACCATGGCTAGAGTCCTTGCTCTGGACTAGGCCTAAGGGATGATTTAGAAAGTCCCTGCCATCAAGGAATTTGTAAGTAAGAAAAAGTGCTTTTGCCTTCAAATGTACACAAGGTCTTTTCTCATATTATCTTTTACTCTTAATGATGTCAAGTCAACCTTATATCTAAGATCTTTAACATCTTAGTGTAACATGGACAGTCTTCCCCTGCCAACAGCTCCTTCATCTTTTTTTCAGGTTCGACGAGGTACTTTATAGATCTTCTCAGGACCTTCAGCCCAGGCACATTGTCAGTTACCTACTAACTCTAAGGTACTTTAACATTGTGTTGCTTTCAAAAGGCTTTTAACCATTTATGTGGAGCCTAATGGTGTGGGACAGAGATAAGACAGATACATGACTCTGCATATTACATTTCATAGCATTTTCCATTCCTTCAAGAGGGATTTTTTTTTTTTTTTTGATCTTGCTATTTTCAAATATTAAGTGACATCTGAGACCACCTAATCTGACAAAGGACCTTTCTTTCATCTAAAATTTGCTATAAAACAAACTCTTTGGCCTAAGAAGTAATGTGCTTAAGTTACAGAAATTCTTTCCTTCATCTCTTTGCAAATTAGCAATTAATGTTCATTCACTCACACATTCAGTGATACAAGTTGTGATCACTACAGTCCAGTGAGCGGAAACTGACAACTACACAAGTGGTCACGGTACGGTGCTTATGGGTTATGGCAGAGTGAACATAAGAGATGATGTTAGGGCACCCAGCCTAGCCTTGTGGAGTCAGAGAAGGCTTCTCAGAGGAAAGGAGTAGGTATTAAATCAGGAGAAGCTGGGTGGCAGGGGAGGAGGAAAAGTCCAGAGTTGGGCCAGAACGTGATGCACTAAAGGAACTACAAGCATAGTCCTAGGAGGGATGAGAAATGAAGCATATACAGACCTTTTCACCATGTACTAAAGCATTTAGACTTTATTTTCAGGGCAGTGGAGCCCATAAAAGAGTTTTAAGCAGAGGTGCAGAAAAATCAGTCAGCTAGAGGGTGGAGAATGAGTTGGGAAGCCAATCAGTGACACTTTGATGGAAATTTCATGGTAGCTGTTTTGCAAACTTTGAGTAGAAATTGAGTCTACTCTTGCATAGCAACAGCTATATCATCCCATAAAACTGTTTAAGAAAGGAAATTTTTTCTTTTACTTAAGAATTTACTGAAATCGGAAACCTTCAAATTCCACTTAGACATATAGAGGTGAAGAAGCTAGAAAGTCTTATTAAATGTCATTTAGTCATTAAAACGAATATCATTTCCTGGTACATTCTTCCACTTGGTGCTATACCTAAAGGGACAGAAGAGAGGCCAGAGTATGTGCAGAGTGGACTGATGACAAGTCTCTTCCTGCCTCCTCACTGTACAAGAAGGGGAAAGGCCATGACATGTTATACCTTTAACTATAAAGGCTACCTAAATGAGGAAAAACTGACGATTAGAAAGTAATCCCCTCCACTTCTAAGACTAGCAATGAATTATAATCTTAAGAACTTGCTGCCTGGTAGTAGTAGAACCAGGACCAAAATCTAAAGCTTGAGTTCAGTATGTTTTACCTTGCCCATTATAGAAAAGCACTGTTCTCCACTTTGCAACTTTGGATACATCTTTTAATGGCTCTAAGCTTTGATTTCTTTATGTTTAAGTTGAGGGAGGAAGAATAGGTATCAAGCTCATATGTTACAATAGGGAATTACTGCTGGTCCTAATCATAATTTCCCTCTTCCTGTTTCAGTCATCTTGCAGCTATGGCACATAAAACACTGCAGATAAAACACAGTCCTCCTGAAGTGGCTGGGGTATGTTGAGTGTTTCCTGTATAATCCCTAGCATCCTCAGACTACTAGTTTTGTAAATTTTTCTGAAGGAGCACTGGGTTATTCAACTACAGTACTGTACTTACTGGCTCAGTAATTAGAATTGGGTTGTAACAATCAATGTCCATGTACTTTACAACATACTAGTGCTAAGTTCCCCTTATCTGAAGCCATAAGGTATGATTACACTTCACCCCCAACTCCACAACCTCATGTGGACCAGTGTTACTGTAAGGGATGCTAGGACTGTATCTTCCTTTGCCTACACTAAACCCTAGGGCCCTCTGAGATATTGTTCTTTTTTAAATTAGAAGAAAAAGTTAGAATTACTTTTAAAAATATTATTTACTTATAAATAGCCTGTTACTGAATTAAACATTTAATCATTTTTTTATTTGTTTTATAGGCCAGACTTCATCTTTTCAGAGCTGCCCGTTGTGTCCTAGCCAATGGAATGAAACTTCTTGGAATAACACCTGTATCTCGGATGTAATTTCTAATTATAATGACTTTAAAAAACGCTAAATGAATTCTGGTTACCTATTCTTAGATGCCTTGCTGTTCAAAATAGGATTTAAACTACTATTCTCTGTCAGAATCTATATTTATTAAATCTAAGTGATTTATCAACTTAAGTTTTTATCCTTAAAAAAAAATCTGAGTTCCCACATGGTCCAAAAAAAAAAAAAACCAAACCAGTTGCCATCGAGCCTGTTCCAACTCATGGCAACCCCAAATGTGCAGAGCAGGACCGCTCCATAAGGTTTTCAAAACTGTGACCTTTCACAAGCAGACAGCCAGGCCTTTCTACTGAGGTGCCTCTGGGTGGTTTCAAACCACCAACCTTTTGGTTGGTAGTCAGCCACTTAACTGTTTGTGCCGCTGAGGACCTCCACATAGTCAATAGGTACTAAATAAGCATTAAGTAAAACTGAGTCGAGACTTTTTAAATTCAAAACATTGTGGTCTAATGGGGTAAAAGGTTAAAAAGTTTAAACTCCAGCTTGAGGTTTCTTACAGTGTGTTTCTTCCTTTCTTATTCTTATGGCTAGTTCTGAATAAGTTTAGGAAGACCAAAAATAAGCATCTTGTTATCAGAAATAGCTGACAACTACCCCAAGAGTACAGGTCTCGTGTGTACCATTTAGTTGATATATACAGGTAACCCTTACTATATGAACTCAGAAACTGAATACATTTGAATAGCAATGAATTACTTGTACAGACACTGTATTAGGATCTTTTCCCAAAAATGACTCTAGTAGTTAAACCATAATCTGAAATGGAGTCTCTCAATTTCCTTCATGTATCTGCATATTAAAAAAAAAAGACTTGTTGCTGTTGAGTCGATTCCAGCTCACAGCAACCCTATTACAGGATAGAGCTGAACTGCCCCCTCCCCCGATAGGGTTTCCAAGGAGCGGCTGGTGGATTCAAATAGTCAACCTTTTGGTTAGCAACCATAGCTCACCGTAGCTTTTAACCACTGAACCACCAGGGCTCTATTTGTGTGACTTGTTTAGGTAACATGAGTAGGATGTGATCTGTTTGATCAGTACAGCCATCCTCATTTGCCAGTATTCCCATTCAGGTCTGCTATAATATTTTCTAAATGTTGCGACTAGAAGCCTTCTGAATACTACTGACAATCTATTTGTACAAACAGAAAAGTAAATTAGCTTGAACTAAAGCTTCTGTAGTTAGAATGAACACTGTTTTACATTGGTCAGTATGGTTAACCATCTTAGTCCTAGAAAAGACTCATCTATGCAATCTTAATTTTAAGTGAATTAGCTTTCAGATTGCTGATTTTCTGCTTAAAGTAACACTGCATTTCCCTTAGCACAAACCAGTCATGGAATAAAAATGTAAATTTGGAACATGACTTACATGTCTAGTATCCCCCTCCACTTCTGAGAAACTGTCCCCTCCCCAGGTCAGTGATAGCCTCGTGAGGTTTTGAATCTTGAGTGAAATGAGGCAGGGACAGTAATGGCTAGTGCCAAGTCTTTCCAAAAGCAGCTCCCTGAAAGGACTGTTCATTAATTTCTGCAACCAATAGCCCCACAGCCCTGAATGCTGCCCTTCCCATAAGTTCCTTTTTTAAGGATAGTCAGAGTTGGTTTTGCAGCCAAAGAACCCTAACAGATACCGTCTAACATATAGAAGATAAAAAATGTAGTGTTTGGGGTTTTTTGTTTTGTTTCTGCCTTATCTTAACGGTCATATCTATAATACAAAAAGTGATCAAATAGAATTCATATAAATACATTAGGTTTATTGCTGAATTTCCCCATTAACATTATAGAAATCTTTTTAAAAACACTGAAATTTCACAAATTATTGAGGTCCCAACAGTTAAACATACTTTATAAAAAAAAGTACAAAAGTGACATTAGAAATTTTTTTGAAGAAAAGTATATCATCTAACAGGAAGGAAATATGAATCCAGACAATGAATGGCACAAATACAGCACTAAAGGAGTACTCAGTCACCACCCAGAAATCACAGTCTGAGTTATGAAACAGTTCATTTTGAGAAAAAGTTACACATTCAATTTGTTTTTCTGAACTAGCCTGTCTTATTTCTGCCTCTCTTGAAAGAGAAGAACTTGGTCTTTACTGGTGCTGGGACAAAATACTGTATATGAACAGAGAACAAAGAGGGATCACCCTTCTCCCCTGGTACCTGAACAAGTGAACAGTTAGTACAGAAATGGCTTTGGCACTTTAACTCTTAAATATTGTCCCAGACCACTTGTAACCTCACATGATTTTTTAACACCACATCATCTCCATACTTTTTATGTACATTATATATACAATAATAAAATTCCTTCATTCTAAAACAAAACAGTTTGACCCCAAACAGGTCCACATTAGCTATTAACTCAGGTAGCTTTCTTCTTAATTCTTATGCCATACAATTAATTTTTTGTTTTTGTTTGTTTAAGCTACCCTCTGGGATTGACTTAAGGCTCTAGATTAATGCAAATGTTTTAGTCTGAGTAGAAATCTCTCTTGAGGCTGGAATCACACACCAATGACTCTCTCTTTTGAAGCTCTTTCTCCTTCTTGGATGGATGTAGTGTCTTGTCTGGGTAATCCATAAAGATATATAGAAACACATACGAGAAGGGTACCCAGAGCAAAGGTGAATGCTACAAAGGGGGAAAAAAAAGTTTAGTTTGTATTTGTGTGTCTGAAACATACAACAATTAATTTAACATTTTGAAAACTTCTAATTGTGGGTTTATATTATCAGACCATATGGGAAATAAATAGTGTTCTACTTTTATGATGGCAGGTTTAGAAAGGTCATCAATTCTAGCAAAAAAAGGAGAGGAGAGTAAAATCAAGGGAGTGACAGTCACTGACTACACACTTTCAAGAACACCAGTGTGCCTCTCCTGGACCACTCCTGACAGAAAGGACATACTAAGTTCCCTGTATGCTGATTTTAAAAAGGAAGAAAAGCAGTTTAAGGTGTGGCCTTTCCATCATATCAGAAACCTGTAAGAGTCTAGAGTAAAAAATAGTTGAGCAAAATTCAGAGTTAGGTGACCAAAGATCGAAACCACTAAACATTACTGAGTAGGAGATGAGATGGCAATTTCCTGCTAGCCTTGCCTCTTTCCATCTTAATCCTGAAAATCAGCAAACAAGAAATTGAATCACAACTTGTCCAGGCTTGACAGTCATTATGTAAACAGATGCTTACATCAAAAGCTTGCCAAAACTGTATATTCTGTTCAAAACCAAACCATATTCTATATGGACTACAACGAAACAGTCTTAATAGCTTTAAAAATGGTATGCAGAGAAATGACATCAAGTATGATTTTAGTTTACACCTAACTAGAAAAGACCAGCTTTGCTTTCAAAAGGGGGGCAGGAGGGAGTTAATTTACATCTAAATAGAAAACTGAAAGATTACTAAGGCGTTCTAATTAATTTCCTTGACCATTATCGGTAAGACAGAATATTGACAAAAAAGCATTTCATACTATTTCTGAGTATTAGGAAAAGGAGCAAAGGCATAAGGAGATTTGTTCAGCATAACGACGGATCAGAACTACAAGTTCACCCAAATCAAGTATAAAAACATCTAATGGAGGGCCTGTAGATACCTATACCAAAACTGTAAGTGACTGGCTTTATACAGAACACTTACCTGTGTGCCAGATACTATTCTAAACACTTTACCTGAAAAGAACCCTAGGAGGTAGGTGGTATTATTTCCATTTTACAGATGAAGAAACTGACACAGGCTAAGTGACTTCCTGAAAGTTGCACAGCTAATAAATGGTACAGCCAAGATTTGAACTATACTCTAAAATGGTTTTCTAGAATTTCTACACAGTTGGTGTTCCTCTGTTTGCATTTATGGCAACAGTCAATTTTAAAATGAAATGTAAATATAGGCCAGGTCTGTTTCTTTAACTTACTGTAAATATTTGACAGAATTTCCTCACACATTAGTTTATGGTATATTAACTGATCAGTATAGAAAATAATTATTACAGCATAAAAGCACCCTGAAATGTTAAGGCAATATCACTGCTTGAATAATTCAGAAGCCAACTTAATCCTGGGTGGGGGCTAGGGAAAATTATATTAGCAGGACTCGAACAGCAGTGGTGCCAGAATGCCAGCAATAGTAATGAATTTTATATGTTACATATTACATGAAACAAAAATAATTTTCATAAAAGAGAAAAAGAAAACCTACATTTGGATTATAGTTTCAAAACCAATTCACACCCAAGTCTTAAAAAGTTAGGAGGGTACAAAACTAAGGGGGAGATGAAAGATGTTTTCTGCTCTTTCCTTAAAACAAAAAGCCTGCTGAAAGTAATCATTTCCTAAAGTCCATGTGTTTATTTCCTTAAGTACCTAATCACACTAATTTTACCCTGAATCACTCAAAGTTGTACTGTATCTAATACTTGGGGAACAGGGAGGCCTTAGATTGCAAAAAGAAAACTCTTTTTGTAACTGAGTAGCCCTTCACTTTGACATAGAGCCAGTACCCCTCAACTTAAGCTCTGGGACCGTTTAAACAACTTCAGTACTGCTTACTCACGTTCCACACAACTGCTGCACTTGTAGAATAAATTGTAGTAACAAAACTAGGAATTTCTATAAACACTATGACCAACTATCATTTCTAGTTAGAGATTAAATGAATCAAGGAAGTGAGCTCTTCCACGTTAATAACTTCACAATACAAACAAGGACATACTTATCTGCAATCCAAACAGCATCACTGAAGCAATGGTGGAAAGGACAATCGCTGCTGCTGCAGAAAAGCCCTTCATGATGTTATCTGTGTACTTGACCACAACAGAAGTGTAGAGGCCTCCAACGCTTGCAAGAACTTGTATACAGAAAGAAATAAAATCTTAACACTCCAGTAAATGAAACATCCTATAATGGTAAGACAATCTTCATCCCCAGAGATGACATACTAATTAACCTAGAAAATACTATTTTCCTTAAAAGCAGCCATTTGAGAGAGTTTGTATTAAAACCGAGTAGTGGTTCCTGCATAACGACACTGTATTTCAGATACCCAAAGAGCTATGTGGTCTACTACTAAATTGTACACATTTATTGCTAACACATTAGATAC